TTYMAAAAAAAAACTATTCCTAAWTAATCTAATAATACTACGTATGCTTAAACATTTAATTAATAAYAAAATAACCCCTAATAATATTTAGAGGACGCTATACAACCATTTGTTATCTCTGTATTACAAGTGCATAGCATAGCACATTTACGTTCAACAGATCACGTTTAACTCTATTAATTTAATAATTAGAGTGAATCGACTTATTATGAACATTATCTATTTATGCAGCTGGGTTTTTTTTACGATAGTTCAATTTTGTAGCAAGTTATGTGTATATAAAAAAATGTAAATTAAAAATTTTCATAATTCACTTAAAAAGTAAGTTATCACAAAAACCCATATACAAAAATAGATAATGCTCTTACCACCAAGTTTCATAATAGGACAATTCGCTCTAATTTTTAAACTAACAGAGTTTAACGTGATCTGTTGAACGTAAATTTGGTACTATGCTATGCAATTGTAATATGGATACAACCAATATGTGTGTAGCGTTCTCTTAAACTCCTCATGTACAAAACCTTATTAAAATGTATCTGGACATACAGACTATAGGTATGGGGAAATGCTATAAGTCCAATCTAAATATAAGATACAAGCTGTTCAATATATATCCTTAAGGAAATTACTAAATTCCCCTCCATATATGTATATCAAACCATATACTCTTCACATATATCGTAACTTAAAACACTCATGATCAAGCTTAATTTTTCAATATAWAATTTCATAACTATCTATCTACTCACTCAAATATTCTCATCAAGAAATTATAACCCCTGACATCCCTAGGTTYTCAAGGTGACAGAAACGCAAATGATTCAGATATTTATTACATTGAAAAAATAAATAAATAAAAAACATAATTAAATCACACAAGATTTAATACAAATTGAAAGTGCCATCAGTGAGTGGCTCTTTCCCAAAATAATGTAACTCGTGTTTTTTCTCTCTTAACACACATATAATCTTTATATTATATAATATAGATTGTATATTATTTTCTAAAAAACAGAAGAAAAAAAGAATTTTGTACAAACCAGCATACATATTATATGTCACATAAACATGGTGAATTCACTAATTTCATRAACCAGATAATAGTGAAATTCGTTCAGATCGTGAATTTTGACAAAAATACATTATATATGGACAATATCTATAATCATAATTCATACATATATTATATTTTATAAATGACAGTGTTACCTATGAAATATTATAAAATAATCATGAAATACCTATATTACCTATATTTATTATATTGTTAAGCACACCTACTTGATTATCGAGGAGTTTTTACCTTAATCGAACAAGACAAAAATATTTACCCTAACCTTACACGGTGTACAAATATGACCATCGTATTTTTGGAGCTCCAAATGTCAACAGTAACTCATTAGCAATTTCAGTTGTTATTTWACTCTCTAATTAAGAATTACAAATATTGTGGTATGACCTTGGTAATTTAGTATACATTTAAATTTTCTATCAGGTACCGACTGAAAATCTACTAAGTCAATTTGTGCTCTTTCATTKAAATTTGTAGTTGTGATAGATTTTATTACAAGTGTCCTTTCCATTGAATTTTTACAATTGCACGTTTCACACATTGTTAAAAAAAATGTAATTGGTGATTTTAATTTATAATATGTATCATGAAACGCATTTCGAAATATAACATTACTTCTGTCGCCTGTCCTAAAATTWAATTCTTTAATTTTATCAAAAAGATCTTCATAACACTCCAAATATATATCTAGATTATTTGATACATATCATATGTATATAATAGATAATATTGTCGTCGATCTTTTTTACCACTGTTAAGATAAATAAAATGCTTTTCATAAAATACGTTCCTTTCCTCCTATTTTTTTAAAAAATTGCTATGATAAATGATAAATCCACGTACAAACTGAAAGCGCTATCTGTGTTACACACAAGCACTCACTAAATGTTATTTGTTGAACTCAGGATTTGCATAGTTTTCCGTCGACCATCATCGAATAAGGAATCATTCATTTGATATAGGATGTGAAATTACCTAAATAAAATTTGGCATCTCTCTCATACAATATAGATCATGAATAAAACATTATTATCTTTATTGATAGTGAAAAGTATGGTAAACCTTGTTTTGTCCGTGTAAGGCAAAACTCCATTGCCAATCAAGTAGGTGTGTTTGTTTTAAAAATAATACACTATGTAACAGTCGACGTCAAAATCAATCATTATGTAAAAATAATGGTGAAAAAATAATAGTGAAAAAATAATTGTTAAAACTAATCAATTATTTTGTCAATAAAACAATATAATGATTATTATAGGTTGGTATACTTAATTTCATGATTATTTCATAGATAACACTGTTATTTATGAAATATAATATACCTACGTAATATACAATATAGAAAATGTAATAAATTATAATACTATTAGGTACCTATGATATAATGTAATTATTTATTGTTAATAACTTAATAACATACCAATTTTTTTTTTTWCATAATAATTACACAAAGTACACAATATTGTTATTATCCATTTCATGAAATGGATGTCCATATGATGTATTTTCGTCAAAATCCACGATCTAGACGAATTTCACTACCTATCTGAATATCCAAATTAAACCTTATTTCTCGCAAGGAGTTGAGACCCGAAACCCCTCTTCCCAGAAAATACAATACTGTGTATATTTCACTAAAAGTGTAAACTTTTTGTCAATCGACCGAATGACTGAGGAAACCTAAATTAATCAYGTTAAAGCACTGCTGCAGGGCGTGGATTAGTAGGTACCTACCTGTATTCGGTGTCAAACGACGGGCTGGCCGACAAACTGATCGGAGGCTGCGGTAGCGGCGCTACRACCCCGTCAGGTCCGGTACCAAACTCCTTCCGCCGGTACTTGTGCAACTGATCGACAGTTACCACCGGTTTGTGGCTGTACCAGTGCTGTAGACGCCCCAAAGACTGTTGACGGCGAACGGACGCCGGTCGATCTTGCTGCAGTTGTTTCTTGTTCTTCCGATACCTAAGCATTATTATATATTATGAAATATGTGAAAGGGTTGGATGACATAAAATAGTAACGTTTATGGTTTGGACTTTTATTACGCCCTTAAAAATGTAAATGTATAATATTATAATTTTATATTATGAAAAATCGTAAAACGTTAGTTTATACGACACGTAAGTATACYTAATATTAAAATCAGTAAAATAAATCCTGTAAATAAAATACATGATCCCTCAGTAATATTATATTACACTAATTCCGTGACGAAATGACCTACTCTACGAAACAATTTCAGAACATACTTCGAATTTCTATAATTTGTATATCCAATAAACTTACATAGTTTTATCCCCTAAGGTGGTTAATTCAATGTATAATTTTGCTTAAATTATGAAATAAGAATGTTTTAAATCATCCAAACCGACACCCTAACACAGGGATTGAACTTATTGAMATTATTCAAAAGTGAACTATAGTTAATATTTTGATTGAGTTTTATAGAGATATATTTTCGCCCATTTTATTAATACTCTGTGTTTTTAAAAATTTTAAATATATAATTGTACACCACGTTTTCGTATTAAAATTATTTAATTTTATGATATTGTAATAGATCGTTATTTAATAGATTTAGCTGTTCAAAAGTGCTCCTCTTGAATTTATAAAAACGTAAAACTCAATAAATATACAGACGTGTTTTAATTAGTTGTATTTTAAAACTTCAAAAGTCAATTCTAATTACCATCGTGATGGGTTCACGACGAAATATTTGCTTTGTATTTTGTGCTCTCGACAAGAATTATTAGTATCATACAGTAATTACATCGTGRCTTACAACAAGTACCAAATATACTGCAAAGTAACGGTAATATCAATATTGAAATCGCTATTCATTATAAGGAGTCGATGACGACATCGTTCTCTTCAGAATACAATCGAAGAATACAATCAAAATATTTTGATCATCATAAACATTATGATATTGTGTAGTACATTTATTGTACRTTTGAATGATTTTGTTCTGGAAATCAACAAAACTTTGGTTTCCTATTTAAATTTCTTCGACGGTCGCTACATTCGACCCATCTAAAAAAATGACTTTTAACTTTCGCTATGAATTAATTTATCAAATAAAGCACTTGAAAAAATTAAAAACTAAAAAAAAGTTTTTCAACTAAGCCCACAGTTATTTTTATATAAATGGAAAATTGTTTAAAACTATTGTAATTACTAACTATAATTCTTATATGCTATACCGGRGCCCATAGTGTGAGGATAGTCCATTAATTATTAATCGAATTAGTCTTCTGGCGAGAAGTATATTGAATAAAAAAGCAATAAAACAAAACGTTCTCGTTATTTAAGTTATTTATTGCAGTATATCGCTCCATATTTGACTAGAAACCTATTACATAGGTACCCACATATCTTAAGTTTTAAATATTTACTTTGATTATATTTGCAATACATTCACAGAATAAATTTATTGGGAAATTTAAATAAGTATACCTACACATTTTCTTGTTGTTATTATTTTTATAATTAAACCTTTAACTATATACAATTAAGTTTTTTGTGATGCCCGTTATTATTTTTATAATTAAAATTACAGTCGACAATAAATGTATTAAAGAACAATTTCGGTACTCGTTTAGATTATTATTAAAATGTAAACTTTGCATAATAACTGAGTTATTGTTGTAAGATCGAAARAAAAACAGTTTAAGTTTGGTTAAATTTGATACGTAAATACATAATTTATTGTATTGGTTTAATTTTTAAAAAAAAAAAACTCAAAATGTATTTCAAAAAAATTGTTGTTTAATAAATATATTGACTATAATAACAATTACCTATGTATCAAATAACTTTACACTTTAAACTATATGGTATATAAATGATAAATGTCTTAAATCTAATAATTTAAAATATATTATCTACTTACAATAATGTTAATAGCATTGTAGAGTTTCCAAGTTTAAAATCGTAAAATGCTTTAACATAATGTGCATATAATATGTACGTACAAATAAATCATGCAAATGACACGCAATTATTATGAGAAACCGTATCGGCCTTGAGTATTTTAGTTTGTGAAATATTACATTTTAATAACTTGTGATCCCGAAAAATACTGATAAGTTTTCCTGAATACAGTATAAAATATGAACGAAGTTTCACAAACTAATTTAATCAAAACTGGCGACAGCGCTAACGTGTGACATGCTATTATAGCTATACTGTATAAGTTGTAATGATATTTTATTAATTCTACTGGTGCATGAAAAGTTTGTCGGTAGAAAAATTATCAATTGTTATTTTAAAATATGTTCTAAATGAAATTTCATATAACAGCTTTAGAGCATAGATACTCACTATTTTGCCACGGATGCTAAAAATCGAATAAACGTCAGTGAAAAGGCATGTTACGTATTTATGTACGAAAATGTTGGCGAAGAAAAATTACCAATCAATCATATGAAAAGACGATATTACAATCACGAATAACTATAAAAAGAATTATAAATTATTACTTTCAAGTTTTTTTTCCTCCCTTTGCGATGACTCCAACAACTACTGTACACTTCTAACTTCGCATACCTTGAACTCAAATGTTATTATATAACAATAAATCATAATAAAACGTTGATATGTCTTACATATAAATACATACACCAGCTGTCTATTAAAAAAAAATGGCCATTGAGTTATGATTTTGAAAATTTGAGGATTATAATATTGTATTAACGTTTTACAGTTTTTATTTGTAAGACTGTTTTGCTCTCATTTTCCAAGTAATCGAAATTTCTATGATCGCTCCGATGACGATTTACGTGTAAAAGACCACTCTTAATATTATGATATTTATTATTTTATAATGATATAAGCATATATTTACCATTGTAGGCTAATAAACCTTTGTATTTGAAGCCTTTAATTAATAAAAAAAAAAAGCATATATTCATTATGTATATATTTATATAGTTGTGAACTTTTCATTAATTTAAATCAACTAAATGCATATATTTGATTACGATAAACTGTACCTAGTAATAAATTAATAAAATAAACCATTTTTCCAATACTTAATATATATATATATATATATATATATATATATATTATTTAATTTATATGAACACCCCAAAGAGTACAAGTACGAATAATATCATAAATTACAATCGATTATTGAGCTTACAAAATAAATTAAAAGCAATATATTAATTTTTAGTTCTGAAAATGAGTCATAAAAATAATCATGATTTGTACGTGGATATTTTTTTTATTAATGTTAAATCAAAAATATTCTCTTGAAACTTAAGTTKTTATACTAACTTTATATGTTGTCCATTTAGAAAACGGAGGGAAGATTCTATTTTCACAAATAGGGGAGGAAACACTAATACTATACATATAWAGGTAATTAATTAAAAGTTTAACATATTTCAACTAAATATTTTTAAATAAAATTTGTATATTTCTATACTATATACATACTATAGTCACTATAATATAACCTCCACCACATTATACAATAATACAATATACATACCTATACGAGTATCTACTATAAATATACACGTATCATTGTCATCGGGTTGAGTGACTTTTACAATAAAAGACAATAGCCCAGAAGGCAAACATTCCCGTATTTCTAACACGTATAAATGATGTCATGTCTTTACTATATCATATTTTATTATAGCGTATACAATACGAACGATATCGAATAACTGTTTCTGTAAAATTGTTTTCACTCTTTCTTTCACTTGCTTTAWTACAATAAAGACTTAAACGAATACTRCTAYCTATATACAATAATAATCATAATAATTATATATGCCTACAAATAGTGAAAGTAAGACAAAATATTTTAAAYATTTTCATAATATGGATGATTACAATATATTATTAATAAAACATAAATATTATATTTCAATATTTCTAAAAGACGATCGCTTTTTTACTGTTAACACTTTTAGGCAATTTTAAATTATGCATTGCAACTACGGTGGTTAGTTCATATTTTGACTATCTCTAACTACGTATAGGAAAATAACACCCGGAAAAACACTCTTAACCGCTCCAAATATTCTGTAAGATTGTAATTCACTTTGCCTGGATAATATATTATATTACTACATATCTATAAATTGATGACACTACACAGTTGATGGTATATTAAAGAAGACGATTGATAAGTAATTTTTCATTAAAATATATAAATGTATTGGAACAGTGTTTATAATGTTATATCTTATAGGTATCATGTTCTATGATAGCAAACCCATTTTTAAATAAATATCAAGCACAGCTTGTTTTTCTAATTTGATGACTTATCAATATTCAATGACATTAAATTTACAACAAAAAAAGTAGTAAATTACTATTTGTCTCCTATGACATGTGACTAGCTCCTTGCACATTTTGGTTTCCATGACATTTGTCATGACATATTACATATACGATATACCAGATATTTAATATTCATATGTATTTTTCTAGTTAAAACTAACTACCAACCTATATTGGTCGAATTTCAAGTACTAAGTATACGGACAAATAAATAAAAACTGTACTTTGATAAGTGAAATCTCGCAATTTAAACATCGCATAATTCGATGCGACGAATTCAAAAGTGCGTGTCAATAGTACTTTTTCATTTAAACAATTAAAAAGAGTTTTTACCAAACTAAAACGTAAATGTAATTTCCTTACACAGATAGCTAAGAAGTATAAGTGTTTGTAGAGCATCAAAACAAAACTCGTGTGGATAACAAAATAAAAACAACAATAAAATCACATGAAGTAGAATATGTGAGAATCGCATAAAATCGTAGATAGGTACTTCCAAACCATATAAATAAATAAAMATGTACTGCCAGACCAATTGCCAGAGCTGTCGTGGTCTTTATATTTAATTTAAAAGAAAAAAAATAGTAAGCCCGTAGCGTTTACTTTGGGTTATATCAATACAAAATAATATATGAGTCACAATGATATTATCCAACTCGCTGAATACGTCGCGCGTCGTATCTATATTATGATAAGTTTGTTTTTTTTTTTATTATTATTACCCATGGCATCGTTAGCCATCAGGATAACTATAATATATAGTAAGTTATCAGAACTAAAATATGGTAAGCCTAATAAACAAGTTTGATAAATAGTAACTAACATATTGACGTGAATAAAACATCAATAACGGTTTTTTCGAAAAATTTCGAAAAATCACATCTTCAATGTAATATATATATATAACTCCCATGACCAGAAAAACCTGCTGTAGCTAATGAAATAATGCAACCTACTTACCTATTTTCTCTATGATATTAAAAATTAAAATAGTAGTAAATTTAATAAATTTAGTAAAAATGTAGCTACATACTCGTATCTATTATATCGTCTCACCTGGACATTGTAGAATCGGCGGTTGTCTGACAGTGCTGACGTGCAAGTACTAAAACAGTTCTTTTCCCACGTAAATACTTATTGTGCGGTTATCGTTTTAGTTTGAAGGTCGTCCGTTGTTTCAAAACTGTACCCTAAAATAGGTTACGGGGTCGATTTGTATCTACTAAAACTATGAAGTTTTCTAGACACGCATAATGTCTACGACAAAAGTGGAAATAGCAATGTAACGAGAGGCTCACTTGAGAATAATTAATTTTACGGAAACATTGTACAGACATTATAACAATTAAACACAATTTAAACATTTGAACTTTAAAGTGATCGATGAACGGTTACAATGTTTAAATACACTTTTAGACCTACATTATAATTTTAAACTATACTTAGACATTGTTCTACAAACAATGTTGACAGCCTCATTATCACATCTAAAACATAATAATTAACAATTATAAGGTAATATATTGTATAATATAATCATGAATCATCACAAGTATTAACAATAGTTGACAGGCTAAAATAATAATACTATTGTTATGACAATAGTATACCTAATGTAATTTATGTTTGTAATAATATTAAATTTTTAATAACTACAAATAATTTAATAAAAATGTAGGCATTTTTAATTTTTGTATCCGTTTAATTATAACTATTGATATATTTTATTAATACATGTGTAAATATGCTGTATTAATTATAATAACAATAACTAAAATTGTCATCTTATTATTATAATTTAGATATATCATCCCTATAAACACATATGTAACAATTATAATCACCATAACTAATGACCATAGATTCCAGGTTCTTGAGATAAAAAAAAAAAAAAACAATTTATTTTATTGATATAATCATATAGATTAGATTTATAAACTTGTTTTTTTTTTTTTTTTTTAATCTTTCACCAGATATCTACAAGATATCGAAGCAACAAGAATTTAAAATACTAGATTTTTGAGTGTCTCATAATATATTCTTAAGTTCTATTAATCCTAAGAAAATGTTTAATACGTCATATTTTATAAACAAAAAATATGTATCTACATTAGTGTATCGGACTACAATTATTACTATGGACCATCTGCAGCATACAGCTAGAGTATTTTTTATTTATTTTATTTAGATGTTTTAATTTGAAGAATTATAAATTACTGATGTTATCAATTATCTTAAACTAAAAAATAACGCCCGAATAAATCTTCTAGTACCTTTGAAAAATATTTTTTACTCATAAGTTACTGATGTGTACATTACATTGAAGCATCGTCATCGCGCTTGGCTAAACTACTAAGAAACGTATTTTTGTACGTTTATAGGACTGAAAATAATAAGGCTGACTATTAAATATGTATACAAATCAACACAACAATTAAATTATACTAGTATAAGACATCCCCCATACATACAATTAGTTTTTAACAACAGTTTCAAGAAAAGTAGAATACCGAAATGACTACATCTATCATAGTTAAGGAACTAAATTTTCAGTATAAAAAGAGAACTTTTTCTGTGTGATAATGTCTTATTTTTCAATATTATTTTTAATGGAAAAAAACTTCCCATAGGTCTAGGTAATTCGTTACGCAGCAACGCTACTAACATAG